GAGCTGAGGCCGAAGGAAATGTCAGATCTCAAACAGCACATTCCCGGGGTGCGGTGTGTGTGTGTGTGTGTGTGTGTGTGTGTGTCAGGGAGACCCCAGAAGGGGAAAGGCGGCTGCAGGGGGAAGCTCTTCCTGCAGGGAGAGGAGAAAGGCCCGGGGCACCCCCAAGTACCCGCCAGGCCCCAGCAGCCCTGGATTCCAGCCGCACCACAGCCAGCGTGAGGTCCACGCTCTATCTCAGCCTTTTCTCTCTCCTTTTCAGCTACAGGTCTTGCTGCGGTGGGAGTCTCGGTTTCCCCGTGTTTAAATTAGGAACAATAAGAGTACTTACCGACCTCATCGGGGGTTTCTCAGGGTCCGAGGGGGAAATGCAGGTAAAGCACCTGGTACGACGCCCGGCACATAGTAAGCGCTCAGCGAACACTTGCTGCACTAATGAGGTCATCACAAGGGGGAGAAGTGGCAGCCGAGGGACGGCCACGGCCCCAGGAAGCCTCTGCCTGCCCCGGCCCCAGGAAGCCTCTGCCTGCCCTTCATCTCGGAACTCACTCCAAACGCATCAGTGCTGAGCAGCAGGGAAGGTGTGGGCGGAAGAAAGGTACAGAGGAAATGGGAATTCTAAACCAAACTTGGTCCCACTCAGCTCCTGAAAGGTAACTCCTCAGGCCCGAGGCATGTGCTGGAGCCCCGGGCAGAGCCAAAGGCCAGGGGACGAGCCAAGTGGCCAGGCCAGGGTCCAGGCTGCCTCGGGGGCCAAACCCAGCAGGGTGCACCAGGTCCAAGACTGTTCCAGGCAGCGGGCCAGCCCCACTGGCTGCCCTGGCCCCAGAGAGGCAGAGGGCATGGGTCAGCAGGGCTACCGATGTCCACGCAGGACGGCCCATGCTAGCCACAGTGCCTCTCCCTGACCAGCCCCTGTGGCCCAAATACTCTCACAGCACCAGTGTGCCCCGGCTGGCGCCTGTCTGGTTACTCCTGCCGAAGTGGCTCAAGCACCCCATCCTTTGGCAACCCTTCCCCAGGAGGGGGGACACAGGGCAGCACCTCTGCACCTGCTCAGCCCTCACGGCGGCACCTGTTTCCTCACGTCCACAGGACTAACCCTAAGACCGAGACTTCTGCAGCCCTGACCACACCCGGACACTGCTCCAGCTTGCTGCAGGGATGGTCCCACTGAATGCTCACCACAGTCTGTCAGGGTGCTGCTGTCATCACCCCCCCCCCCCCGCAGACGAGGAAACTGAGGCACAGGGCGTTTAGGCGACTTGGCCGAAGCCACCCAGCTAGATGCGGAGCCAGGCGGAGCCAGGCGGCTCTTGAATCTATATTCTCACCGTGCGCTCCTTGAAGGCAGGGACAGCATCTGATTATTCCCAGCTCCCGGGACAGGGCCAAGGACACAGCAGGTGCTTAGAAAAAATGGGCTGGTGAAATAAGCTCACTTGGGGGAAGTTCAGCTCTGAGCCACAGCCCTGCCCAGCAGGAAGGATCAGATAAAGACTTCCTACTAATTAGCCCTCTCTCAAATACACTGCTGTCTGTCCTGTCCCAGTGTCTGTTTTGTTTTGTTCTGTTTTTTGTTTTTGAGAGGTAGAGCAGGAGAGAGAGAGACAGACAGACAGACAGACAGACAGACAAGACAGAGCACCTACTCACTGATTCACTCTCCAAATGCATGCAATGGGCCGGTGCTGTGGCGTACAGGGTAAAGCCACCACCTGCGATGCCAGCATCCCATATGGGTGCCAGTTTGAGTCCCGGCTGCTCTTCTTCCAGTCCAGCTCTCTGCTATGGCCTGGGAAAGCAGTGGAGGATGGCCAAGTGCTCGGGTCCCGAACCCATGTGGGAGACCCAGTCCCAGCCCTTGAGACCATTTGGGGAGTAAACCAGTGGATGGAAGATCTCTCTTTCTCTCTCTTTGTGCCTTTCAAATAAATAAATCTCTAAAAAAATTCATGCAACAGCTGGAGCTGAGCTAGCAGGGAGCCGGAATGGAGGGCAGAGCTGATCTGGGCCCTAGGCACTCTGATACAGGCTGCATCTCCAGGGACGCCTTAGCTGCCAGGCCAAATGCCCAACCCCACTGCTCCTGCCTGCTCTCAGCCTCCTGCCCCTCTTCCCACTTCCTGCATTGTCCTTGTCCTGCCCTGCGGTTCTCACTGTGACACCTCCACCTGTCCTTGCCTGGGGGCTTTAACAGAGGCAGTGACACTGACTCATCAGACTGGATACAGACCAAGCTCCTGCACCCTGACCCCAACCAAAACAGCCACTGCCCATCAACCGGACCTGATGCAGATAGGGGGAGGCTGGGAAGAGGAGCTGCCTGCCTACAGCTTGTCACCCATCTGGGTAGGGCCAGGAAGATTCTCTGCCTCCTCTCCCAAGGACCCACCTCCTCCAGGAAGCCCTCCCTAATCAGTTGAGAAAGCTTAGTCATGCAGTCATCCAGCAAGTGCTTACATATTCTAATAGTGTGACCAGGGAGAAAAGTTATGCTACAAACACAAGCTCCAGTCCCACCGTACAAGTCACCCCGGGTCACAGACAACTGCAAAGAGCCAGTGATTTCCGAGTGCAGAGCTCCGTGACACCTGGGACAGGTGGTTCCTCCTCCCGGGACTCCAGTGCCTGAGCTAGAACACAGGCAACGCTAACACAGACCTGCGAAGGCTGTCGGGAGAGCCGAACAGAATTTTTGTAAAGTTCCTGATGCAGACTAGCGCATAGCAGGTGCTCAACAAAACGGGTTTCTTTCTCCCTTCCAGGTCGGAAGCCTGGCCTTTCAGATAAATGGGGAAATGTATACTGGTGCATCCTTGAGACCAGAAATGTCATACAGACAGGATGACTTAGGTGGTGCCCGGCACATCACCAGGAGGTGGCCCTGGGAGGTCAGAGGTCAGTGTGCTACAGACATAAGTGCTGACCCTCTCCCCTCCTCCTCCGATCCAAGCTGTGGGTCATGAAGGAGCCTGGCGGGCGCAGAACTCAGCGGTCTAATCCAGATTGCAAAGGTTTACATACTGCCGCATCCGCACCTCCTTGCACAGTGCCAGCACACGGCAGGTGCTCAATAAGTAGGTACTGGGTGAATGATATATTAAAAGCTTGGTTTTCTTTTTCCTCTCAAATAAACGAAAGGAGTGGGGAGGAGGAGGGACAAGGGGGTGAACGGCTGGGTGCACGGGTTGGGGGGGCTGCAGTGGGTGGGGGGTGCAGTACCCGGGAAGATTCAGCTGCCAGGCCCCAGGGCCCCGGGCTCCTCCACAAAGGAGCTGCTGTGAAGAGACCATGTGTGCGTGGCCCTCACCTTCAGGACATGCTCAGGGAGCCCCCTGAGCTTGGCTAGTCATTTAGGCTGCAGTTTAGAGAGAGGGGCAAAGGCAGGGAGATGGGGGGGTTGGGGGGGAGTAGCAGGGAGTCAGCTGGAGGACCTGCTGTGCAGCCGGGTGACTGGCTCAGCAGACAGCCAAGTTCCCACCGCCACTCTGCGTCTCCCTCGGGCGGCTGTGATGGGAGGAGGTGTGGACTTGGTGCCAGGCTATGGGTAGGTGCCAGTCCACGAAGCACCGAGTCCTTTAATCCCACCCTTTCCAAATAATGAGGCCCCATCCCAGGTCCCGGGGGCCCCCGTGGCTGGAAGGTCAATGAGCCTGTGTCCACCCAGGGGAAGGAGAGAGGCAGAGGCCACGGCTCTGAGCCCTGGCCATGCCCTTGTCTTTCCAGCCTGTTCCCCACAAGCAGCACCTGGCCGGGAAAGTGGGTCAGGGCAGCCACATCGGGGCTGCAGGCCAGGGTCCCTCAGTGCCTGGCGCACAGCCGGCCAGCCCAGAGCCCCATGCTCTTCCTCAGAGGCATCTCTGAGAAGCAGGGGGCAGAGCCCAGGCCGCCCAGGAAGACAAACCTGGGTACCAGGCCTCCCCCAGGGACGGTGGCCAAGCTGGCCAGGGGCCAAGTCTGCTGCCCCTGCGGAGGGAGGCCGTTCCCTTGCCGCCCCACCCTGGGGGCTCCAGGCCGAGGGCTTGCCAGTCCATCTCTGCCAACTGAGCGCTGTGCCCAGCCCGCCCCCTCCAACCCTGCCTGTCGCCCAATTAGAGGCTGCGTTGGCTCCAACAGATGGGAGCTGCGGCAGCCTGAGAACAGAGCACAAAGCCCCGCTGACATTTTCCTCCGTTCTTTGGTGGGGGAGGAAGGGCAGGGACGCAGGGGGAGCCCAGGTCTACGGCGTTGCTTCCTTCGGCGACTCAGCCCAGCCCAGAAGGCTCAGCCCCTCCCGGCCCAGCGGCTCCACCTGCGCAGCCGGAGCCCGCACCGCTGGTTGCCAGCAGGACGCACGGCCCACCTGTGGCTGGCCAGGCCGCCGGTCTCCGGGGTGCTGGGTGGGCTCAGGGCTACTCTTCCGTTTCCGGGGCTCCCCCTCTGCAGCCCCCAGGCTGAGCCCAAAGCCGGCCCATCCCCCACCCCAAATGTCCCATCTTGCGCTTCAGTCTGACCTCAGGCGAGGAGGAGACCCCCAGCCTCTGGTCCCCGACACTCGGAACAGACCCAAGGCCACCACGTCCCCCTGCACCGACAGTCGAGCTCCAAAAAAGCGGACGTCCCGCGGCTCCGGGGCGCCTCACCCTGGCGCTGGGCAGCCCCGTCACACCCTCCCTGACCTCTCTGCCCCTCTCGGCTCCCGCACAACTCCAGGCCCGCAAGGCCAGCAACAGTTCGGGGAGGCTCAAAGGCCCTCCGGGGTGGAGGCCCGCACGCCCCCGCCCGCCGCCAGCTCCTTCGCGCCGCTCGGCCGCCGCCTCCTCCCGAGCCGCCGCCAACCCTGCGGGCACCGCGGGCGACGCCAGCGGCCGCCCCTCCCCCGGCCCCCAACCCGGCCAGGCCGAGCGCCCCGCGGCGGCTGCTCCGGCCGCGTCCCCGCAGCCTCTCCGGCGGCCTCGAGTCCACTACGCTCCCGCCACCGCGGCGCACGCCGGGCAGCCCCGGGGCCGCACACTCACCCTTGGGCGCCGTCCGGGCCGCTGCGCACCGCTCTCTCGCCGTCCGCCCAGGGCCGGGCTGGGGGCCGCCGGGGAGCGCGCGCCACCTGCGCAGGCCGGGGGAGACACGCTGGGCGCCTTCCCCAACGTGGAGTTATCCTGGGAGTGGTTCTGGAGCCGAGCCCGCGAGGGCGCCGGCAGAATCGCCGCCGGTCTCCACCCGCTTCGCGCGCCCTCGGCGCGGCTTGGCCGGAGGCTGGCGAGCGGGCGCCGGGCGCTCCCCGTGCGCGCCGCGCGGCAAATGCACAGAGCAGGCCCCGGGCGCCCGCGCCCCTCCGCGCGCTCCCCGCTCGCCCGCTCCGCCGCCGCCCTCCCCAGCCCACTCCGGTCGCCTCCTCCCAGTCTGCGCGCCGCGCCAACCCCCTCCAGAACCGCTGCCTGTTTAACTCCTGCGTAGCCGGAGGCCCCTCTGCCTGACACCCGCACACCGGGAGGAAGGGGGTGGGGTGGGGTTGATGCTACAGATGAGCTGTCCTGGTGCCCGGCCCTCGGACGCCGGGCTGGGCTGGATGCTGGGGGAGGGGGGGAAGGGATGAATTTTCTAAGACTGCCTGTGACCCTCCCACAAGAAGGCCGGGACACGCGGGAGATGCGGCCGCCGTTAGAGGACAGGTGCGGCTCATAGGCCAGGAAGGCGTGCAGCTGAGACCACAGCTCTTCCTCTCCAAGTGAGGGAGGGGCTGAGAATAGTGGTGCTGTGAGCACTGGCGTCCCCTCACCCTGAAGGGGGGGACTACGGGTCCCCCTTCCCGGGATCTCAGCCTTCCTGACGCTGCCTGCTGAGCTGGGCAGCCCTGGCTTTGGGGGGCATCGGTCCTGGCTCTCCATGACCAAGGTCAACCTCAGTAGGACGGAGCCCGGGGCAGTGGCAGACCCACCCTCAGGCTAGGCAGGGTGAAGACAGGGGAGCGAGAGCAGGAGCCAGCCAGAGAGAAGGTGGGTGCTGGGTCGCTGCCACCAGGAGAGGCTTGGGAGGGTGGGGCTCCTGCTGGGGTCAGGCTTCGGCCCCCACCTTGAGGGGCCTTGGAGCCTGGGCCACTCAGAGTGGCCTGGGCAAGTGCGGCTCATGACAGACCACGCTAGGTGATGGGCCCAGTTCAGAGCCTGTAGACACAACAAGAGGGGGTGGGCGCGAGGGGTCCAGAAAGGTGCCAGGGCTGGATCTCCGTACCCCTGGGAGCTGAGCTCCAGACAGAGCCTGGGCAGAGCTTTCGTGCCCAGCCTTCCGGACGGTGCGCCCAGCGCTGACTGCCACGCCCGCAGGCGTCTGTGGCGTGGGCCTGCCAGGCTCACCTCCATATACCCAGTAAGCGCACGCTACATTCCCCGCGCACCCACACCGTGCACACCTGCTGTGGAGCAGCTCCGACGGACACGCTGGAGCTGTGGGAGCAGATCTGAGCCTTGCAGGGCAGTGTACGGAAGGAGAATGCCGGGATGAGCTTGGGTTATTCATGGGAGAATTTAGAGGAGTCGCGCTTCCAGCTGAGCCCAGCTGGAGAGAGAGGATATGAACTGGCGGCGAAAACGGGGACCAGCAGAGGCCGATACACATAGAGAGCAAGCAGAGAGCGGTGTCTGGAAGGGAGGCTGTCCATGGAGCTGCTGCGAGATGCCAGGCCTCTCATCTCATCCTCTGAGGTGACCAGCACCCCCATTTAACAGACAGAAGCATGGAGGCTGAGAGAGGTTCAGGACGCGGCCTGGGGGCTACAAGCCGTCTTTGAGAGCCTGTCTTCCCCGGGCTCCGGCTGGAGCGCCACGCTGGCTGTGCAGAGGGCAATGGCTGGATTGGCAGGCCCTGCCAGTGCACAAGTGGGCGGGGGTGAGAGAGGCAGGAAGCAGGGGGAGGCAGCAGTGACAGGAGGGCAAGCCCGTTGGCTGCCACAAGGAAGCTTGGCAGAGCCTGGACACTGAGTAGTGAGAGTAAAGGGTCCAGGCTTCCCTTCGGAGCTGAGCCTGAGTGTTGGGGTCCTGTGTTGTGTCACCACAGCCATCTCTCCATTCAACGTCAAGGTGTACAGACTGCTTGGGAAAGGGAGGGAAGTTACCCAGGCCTTTAGCAGCTCCACGACCCGGAGAGCACACAAGCCAGCGCCGGCCCCCAGTACTTGTGCCTTTGTCCCCAAAAAGAAGCTTCCGGAAATGACGACTGTCCCACATGGCATCAGGAAGGGACTAGCACCTTCCAGTCGCTACTCACTGACTGTTCTTGGAGAGAGAAAACAGCCAAGGAAAGTAGCATTCACCCAGGACGCTGCCCCCGCGGCTGGCGCTGCAGGTCAGGGCTGGGTTTGAAACTCAGCTTATCCACCTTCTCCGTGATGCTTCAAGAAAAGTGCTGAATGTCTGCGCTCTGATTCTCCGTTGTGAGAAAATATGGATTCAAGTCTCAGCAGCCAACACTCACCGAGCACCCGCCACACGCCCCGCAGGGCACTAAGTACACTTGCGAATCGTCTCGTCAAAAACTCTACCAAGCTTGGTGTTGGAGGGATAAGAAAAGCAAGGCCAATGTTGGCATTGCCGGGAGGCCATAGGGCTCCGGTCTGAACTCAGAGCCCTCGGCTAGCAGAGCCAGGCACAAAGCCAATTCCCTGCTGCATTTCTTCAGCATGAAGGCAACTGAAGACTGGGTAAAGAAATTATGGGATATGTACACCATGGAATACTACACAGTGGTAAAAAAAAAGTAAATCCTGTCATTTGCAACAAAATGCGTGCAACTGGAAACCATTATACTTAGTGAAATAAGCCAGTCCCAAAGGACAAATACCATAGGTTCTCCCTGATCCGTGGTAACTAATAGAGCACTTAGAAGGTAATCTATAGAAGTGAAATTGGCACTTTGGGATGTGATGGCTTTGAACAGCCCTTGGGTCGACTGTTGAGGACCAGTGTTTTTTTCTTCATACTATTTGTTGAACTCTTTACTTAGCGTAGGGATAATTTTATGAGTATAAAGTTAATTGAAAATAGACCTTAGTAAAAAATAATAATTGGAATAGGAGAGGGAGGTAGAAGAAGAGGGAGTATGAGGGTGGAAGGGAGGGTAGGGTGGGAAGAATCACTGTGTTCCCAAATTTGTATCTATGAAATGCTTGAGGGCCAGCACTGTGGCATAGTGGATAAAGCCGTCGCCTGCCATGCCGGCATCCCATGTGGGCACTGGTTTGAGTCCCAGCTGCTCCACTTCTGATCCAGCTCTCTGCTATGGCCTGGGAAGGCAGTAGAGGATGGCCCAAGTGCTTGGGACCCTGCGCCTGCATGGGAAACCTGGAGGAAGCTCCTGGCTCCTGGCTTTGGATCGGCACAGCTCTGGCCATTGCAGACATTTGGGGAGTGAACCAGCGGATGGAAGACCTTTCTCTCTCTGCCTCTGCATCTCTGTAACCTTGCTTTTCAAATAAAATATTTTTAACAAAAAGAAAGGAAGGAAGGAAGGAAGGAAGGAAGGAAGGAAGGAAGGAAGGAAGGAAGGAAGGAAGAAAGAAAGAAAGAAAAAGAAAGAAAGAAAAAGAAAGACAGACATGAATTTGTGTACCTTAAATAAAAGGTTTCTAGGTAATAAATAGATAAGGGGAAAAAGACCGTCCTGGGGTATTCCTCCGCACTCACAGGACTGTTGCGAGGGGTGACAGGCTGCACGCTGGGCACACACTAAGTCTCAGCACACAAGGGTGCCGGCTCCCATGACTGCGATTCCGAGCCAGGCACTGCCCTGGGAATGGCTGGGACTCAATCCACAGTCTTGGAAGCTCGTAGGTGATTACCCAGAGGATTTAATGGCCCTGTTATTGACCTTTCGCCCTCCAAGTTTAATCTCTGGGCTTAACCAATCATAATTTCCCGCCTGGGAGCCCAGGCCTCTGTGACATCAGGGGCGTCAGGAGGGGGAGGATGGGGTTACACACTCTGAGAAGGGATCCTTGGCCCCACCGCCCTCGGCTCTTCCACATGGGGGCCAGGAAACTGCCTTGGGAGCAGGCTGCTCCTGGAGCATGAGCCAGTCAGAGGAGGGAGGCTGGGGACACGCTGCCCGATCAGTGGACACAGCCCCCACTGGCCCCCACCCCAGGGAGTCTCTGAATACTGCTGTCCCACCCGGGTGTCAGCTGGGTGGGGAGTGTGGCTCTAGATTCAAGGACCATCTGGAGGGTGCGTGCAAATGCATCCTCACCCACCTTGGCCTTGGTCCAGTCCTGTAGTCCTGGGAATCTGCTTGCTGGGTCAGCTCTGGGTGGTTCGGATCCTGGTGATTGACTGGACCTTGCTTTGAGACACCCTGGCCTGAGGGCTCCCGGGGTCCCTGATCTCCGTCTGCCTGAGCTCACCATGCAAAGAGCTGGTACTCTGGGCACTAGGGATTAGCAGGGAAAGGTGAACCCAGGGCCTCTGGCGAGGTGCACGCATGATGAAGCGAATGGAGCTCACATCTTGGGGTTCCTCACGTGTGGGGTGGCAGGGAGAAGGTTGGCTGTAAGAGCCGGGAATCCCAGGGTGTTCTAGGGGGACAGGGAAGGCCCGTTTACAAACAGAAAGTGCTATGGTTTGATAACGGCTGTCTCAGAAACTCACGTTGCAATGCAATGGCTGTGGCAGCGGAGTTGGGAGGTGTTTGGGTGATGGGGGAGGAGCCATCTGACCAGTGCCTCTCCCTGGGGAATGGGTTTGCTGGTGTGGGAGCTCAGCCCCCCTCTGTCTTCTACCTGGGGCTGCTTGCCTTCTGCTTCCTGCTAGGAGAGGAAGCGGCCTGGAGCCCTCACCAGGAGCCACGCAGATGCTGGCCCCACGCCCTTGGCCGGCCCAACTTCCAGAACTCTGAGCCTACAGCAGGAAGCATTTTTCTTTGTTTCTGGTAAACTGAACGAAGAGAAGTCAGGAGCAGGGAACCTAAATTTCTGAGGCTCAAGTAAATTGTTAGGATTTCTTCCTGAGTCTAAATCAATACCACCTTAGGAACGAACCTTTTCTAATTTTTTAGTTTTGTGGTTTTTTTCCCCCTAATTTTGTGTTCTTTTCCTTAAGGGGCCTCCCAAGCCCTGAAGATCCCCTGGCGCGGGATCTCAGGGAGCTCCGAGGACCCAGAGACTCCCTCGGGACAGAGAACAAGGCAGGCAAGAGGCTCGCACAGCAGACGGTGGAACTGCGTGGCGCCGCGGGGAGCCCTGAAATTTACCCTGGGTTATGTTCCTGGAAGAGGCACTGCAGGTAGAAAGGATGTGGGATGAATCTGGGTGTTTTGCCCAGAAACAATGTAATCATAGAAATTGCATTCCTCACCCAGGTCCCAGTGCCTGG